GTTACTGCCATGAAATGTGTACATTCATATCATACTAATTCTCTGATGCTACCTGATTTTCCTCTTTGGTAAAAAGATTTTTCGCACCAACCCAAAAGCCATTTGGCTAAGTAGCAGTGAATTAACAGTGAGAAATAACAGTATTAATTCTCAGCATATCATTTCACCAGAATAATGCATTTGAGGCTGCTGAATCTTTTTTTTTTTCTCTGCTCTTTTTTTTTTTTTTTTTTTTTATAAAGTCCTCTGCATTTTTAACTTTTCCATTATAATGGAAATCTTTATGAACACATTTCTGAATCAGAGAAGCTGAAGGCTCCCTAGAAAGGCCTATCACTAGCATTTGACTTTTTTTTCAACTTCAGTATGTATCTCTCAGTATTTCCTATTTTCTTTATCCAAGAAACCAGCAAGAATGATTTCATTTGGATTACTGGCCATAATTCTAGTGTTACATGCAAGTACAGCAGGACCTAATTCTATCATGAGGCCAAAATCAAACATGCATAGTAGTAACACAAGAAGTGTCTTTTGGATCTCACTACCTAGCATTCTAAACAGGAAGGAACATGATAGCAGTTCAACTTAAGGTCTCCATCTTCTCTTACAAAAAAGTGATTTCCTTGCGTGTATGATATACCACAGTTGCAGCAATCCTCCTCTGCATCCCCATTTGCTCCTTTTCAGCACATCAAACTTACTGCTGTCAAAAGCATACTATTTTCTTGCCACACTTACACTGAGTTAGTTCCTCTTTTGCAGCCAAATCCCAATTTCTCTTAGCAGGAAAGTTCTAACTTTTTGTCCTCACTTTTAAGGTTTGTCACAACTCTGCTTCTTCCCACTTACAGTTCAGTTCTCATGTCCTCCTACACTCCTAATGAGATGACTGTACTTTTTACAAGTTTCTCCATTTACTGTGCCCTTTCCCTTTTCTCCCTTCCCACACTGTAAGAACATAACACCAGACCAGGAAAAAAAAGGTCTATCTAATCCAATATCCAATTTCTGATACTCTCAATAAAGAGCAGCCTCAGGAAGGGCAAAAAATAGCACATTGATATATGATTCCTCTTTCACACACTCTCCCCATTTTTAGCTATTGTCACTTTGGGATTTCCTGATTCAGGCAGAGTTTCTATTTCACATCCTATATGTATTTTTCTTCCAAATATTTGTCCAGTCTCCCTGAAGAATCATATAAATGTCTAGCATCCATAACCTTCTTTTGCCTCTACGTTCCACTCATTTACTGTCTGCTGCTTAAGGAAACACCTCCTGTTTTTTTTAATACCTGGTTCCTACTACCTTCATTTGGTGCATGCAATTACATTTGGAAGAGAAAATAAGCAAGTAATTTTTAACTATCCTCTCCACATTATTCATAATTTTGTAGACTTCTAGTTTCTCTCTCTTAAGTCATCTTCTTTCCAGACTCTTCCAGCATTAACTCTTCTTACAAGCAGCCTTACTTTTGATCTTTCTGGTCCTTCTCAGAAGCTGTTCATGTTCTACTATATCTACTGCAAGATGACAGAACCAGAACTGTGCACAGGCATTTGCCCATTCTCAAAACCAACCAAGAGCTGGGGGACAGCACAAGGACAGAATTTGCACAACACACAACTATTTGGTGCAGGGCCAGAAGCTAAGCCCAAACTTCTTGAAAGTCGAAAAATACACTATAACAACGCCCCATGAATTCTTGATTTTTTCAACTTCCTTCAGTTTCCTTAACTTTTTTCACCTTACTCTACATTTACTCTTACATTCACTCTTACTCTTTTCTCCTGCAATCCTTGTCCCAAGAAGCTAGACTCTTCTCCATCGTCTTCATCATTCAGGTCCTCAGATTTCTGCTGAAATCAGATTTTGACCTGAGAGCTCTTCTAGGTGAGGAGTTTCCAGCTTTTCCCATAGCATGAACTTTGGCAAGATTAAATCATCAGGAACATGGGTGTGTATGCTGTTTGATATATACGGCACAGAGCACACCTTTGGGGACAGTAACAGGAAATTCAGCTGTTACAACTGTTTTACTGAAAGTAATGGTTCCACACTGAGCATTATAACTCTGAGGAAACTTGCAGAGCAGTTCTTTATAGTTTGGCCCAACAGTGGTTATAACATTGGAAACTGATTTACCCTATGGGAATACTGAACTTCATCGCTCTGATTAGTAAAGCTTAATTTACATTTTTGAAGCAGCTAGAGGACTTTTTTTTTTAAATCATTTTTAACAGAGACCTCCTTTAAGTTGATTGTCCTGCTCTGATAGTTTAACTTTGGTAAGAATGTAATTTTTCTGCTGGGTCGCAAATGATTATGTAGATAAAGGAATCATTAAAATAATTTTTTGCTTTGTTAAAATTGACTGAGAAAGTACAGGATTTCCATTTCACCAATTAAGCTCTGAAACTGCTTCTTCAATCTTTCTGAAACCAAAGGGAATTCCCTTTGAAATGAACACTCATGTCACGTGGTTAAAAACTCATAAAAATATGTAAGAGGGAAAAAAATACTGCCCACAGTATCGGATGATAAATACAGAGCTAGAAGAGATAAAAGAGCTAGAAAAAAGGGTGTATTTCAGTTTTGGAGGGCTGAACAAATAGTTTAGTTTGTGCTATGCTTCCTTCTTTTAATTTATGTAAAAGATCACTTCTTGAATAATAAAAAAGTGTCATTAAATAATAAAAAAGTTAAGGAAGTGATACAGCAAAGCACTGACATGGAAATTAGGCATGTTAGCATTTTTATATGCAATTAAACCTCAGGAATATTCTTCTACAGAAAGCATGTTCACAAATGCACTTTTTTTTTCCTCAGGTGAAAAAAAAACATAAAACCAAAATTCATCCAGTTTATATACCCTGCAAAGTCTACTGAAACATGTAGTATGCCAAGGAGACTTGGCATTGATCTCTGTAGCTGAAAGATTAAGACCAGCTGATGCTGGCAGCACCCAACAACCCACTGAGGAGCACTTTCCAGACAAGTTAAACTAGGTATCTCTCCAAACATGGCAGCTTGAAACTAAAATGTGAAAAGACAAAAACCTGGACTCTTTCTTCAGGGAAGTGTAAAGCGTTTTGCCTTTTCTGTAGAAATTCTGTGTAGCTCTGCAATTTATTTACCATTAGCTAGATATTTATGAAGCAATAAAGACAGTGTATAAATACAGTTAAACATATTTTCTTTTGTATTCTTGCATATGCAGGAAAATTTATACCTGACAGGGGATACCAAACAGCGGTTTTTGATGGCTTAATTCTCAGAACCAGTATTAGGTGTAATCTTAGAAGAATTACATTATTGATGCAGTATACTCATATGCTCACCAATAATTAAATTATGTTTGCAGTTAAAAGTAGAGGCTGCCATACTGCCTGAGCGGAGATGGATTTTGATTATTTCAGTAGTCGAAAGCAAAAGAGATCTAAGGGATCTGATAAGACTAGTTGTGTGTCTTATGCCTCTATAGAAGGAAGAGTAAGGTCAATTCCTTTGCAATCTTCAGAATTCCACATATTCTCTACTTTTTTTTCCACATTAAAAGACATACTATAAAATACTCTGACTTGTCTCACTTGCATGTACTGAAAGAGATGTCTGCAAGATCCCCAAGGATAAACCTGAGGTGGAGGAACTATCATACTGCACGGGTCGATGCTCTTTGCTGTACCCTAGCAATAGGCTGCACGTCTCTGTCAAAATTAAAAGTGGAGAGTGAGAAAAGCAATTCCACACTTACTAATCATATTCTGCTGAAACAGTTGGAGTGAGACTGGCAACAGTTTGCCTCTCTATGCAGAATACAGTTCTACACCCTCAAACCCTCCATGCAAATCTAATGTCTCATACATACACACACACACACATACACACACACTCCATAAAGGCACCATGCTCTCTATTCTCCAAACTCTCTTAACTTAAAACTACTTCTTCATGATATTTACATTTTCATTTTACTGCTATTTTTCTCTCTTCCTTTCCCAAATTGGTTCCCACGTGCCCATCTGCTTTGCAGGAAGAGACAGCTGTAAGCCACTAACCCTTGCAAACTCAAAGAGCAGCTGTTCACAAGTGAAGAACTTACTCCTGGGTGTTGAAATAGCAGCGCAGGGTGGGAAAAGGGAAGCAAATAATAGCAGCTGGGTCCCACAAAGCAAAACAACTGTTAAACATTTGTGCCTTAACACCTGTTGAAGGCTGGCAGCTCTCACGTCTGCTCTGCTCCCTTTATTATGTACTACTGAGAAGAGAAAGCAACCAATGATGGTAAAGAAGGAAAAAGAACACGGCTCCCTAGAGAAGGAGAGCTCCTATGTTAAACCCATGTATTCTTTACATTCTTAATTTCCTATGGAGAGCTGCTTTTTCAGTTTAAATAAGCAGTTATCAGTTTATTATGGCAAGACAAACCACTACATCACCATAAGAACCTTATGCTTTGGTTTTCACTTTGGACAATTACGAAAAAAACAGCAGTTTCTCTCTTATCCTTTTCTGCCTTCCATAAACAATCTTGTGATAGGAGAGGCTATAGCTGCCAAGGAGCTTGGATTACTGTGAATACTTGGATTTAATATGCGTTTATGATGTGCAGTCTCTCAGCTCATAATGTATCCGTGCAGGTCTCCTGTTTCTAATTAACAGCTCCAGTATAAATTTATGGTGAATTCTGGAATTTCATGAGTTCGCACAGAGAATGAAGTTACACTGGGGGTGGTACCTGATGTACAAGTTTAATTTTTCAAAATGAAAATGTAAGAATTAAATTACGATGCCGGGGGGAGGGAAAGAAGCTGCTTATCAGAAATGTGATGCTTTTCTGCTTTTCATGCCTTCAGCTCTGTCCCTCAAAATGATTTTAAAGTGATTATAGCTGGTGTAGATTCCAGGAGCTTCCTGGCAATACCTGCAGTAGAATCTGACAGCTGTTCAGCAGGGATACATCCTTAACCCAGATCCCCCAGAAATGAAGAGAAATTCATGAAACAAAGAATGTTAGGAAGACGTCTTGCAGTTCCCTGTGGGGGGGGGAAAAAAAAAAAAAAAGTGACAATAGTCATAAGGAATAAAAAAAAAAAAAAAAAAAGCAATAATAGAGGGAGCTTTTCCAGTTCAATTCAAACACCGCACACAAAGCACATTCTTCAGCACATACTCAATGCATCTCTTGTAACTCAGGATCTAACTTTTATTCCCAGTACTGCAGGCATTGAACCAGCATATACAGTACGTAGTCACCAGGTATTTCACTAAGCTCCATAATAAACCGCAGCTAAGATATTTGTTAGTGTCAAAAGTGTCATGGAATAGTAGATCAACCGATAAAATAATGAAATGCTTAATAGCAAGAAAAGGCCTCGATTTTATTGTTATGCCTGTGATTACATGCCTTAGACACAGTTCTCAGTTTTTAGTAAAGATTGATGGTGAAATATAGAGAAATTAACCTTTTTCCGTGTTTGTGAAGTGGGTCATAAACAAGCTGTTAATATATTCAATAACACATAAAATTAATATATGCCATAAGGACTACACACAAATGTTAATGACACTGAGCAGCATCATTATTATGTCGTTCATCATAGCACTGTTACTACTGCAACAGTAACTATCCCTTCTGTGCTCCACACTCAGGAGAAAGCAGTCAAACAGCACTTAGAAAGAGCATATTCTACTACAATGAAGTAAAATTTAAGATTTTAAGACTACTTTCATCTTGCCTTCATGATCATAGTCTGCTATGTTATATTTTTCCTTCATAAGTAAGAGAATTGTTGTTGAATTAAGGTGCAATTAGAAGAGACCAGAGCCTTCCACTTACCCTTGATTAACTAAAATCTGCAACTAAAAACACAGCTACGTCATATTTTGTTCCCATTTTAACATATGAAGATTACCTTCTCGCCTCCGGCTGTGACTTCTATATGCAATTCAGGTTTTCCCTCAGGGTAGCTTTGTACATGCCTTGTTTACAGGGATCAGCAAAAAACAGACATCCTAATAAGACACACAAGGACATTGAAACTGCAATAAGAAAGCAATAGGCATCTTGGGAATACAATCTCAGGGTAAAATGCTATTATTTTTATCGGTCTTGCAATCTGAAAGTCACATTCAGAACATTATTTATTACATTTTCCTATGGATTTTAACAGCATATGCAAAAAGTGAACGGAAAGGGTTTTAACCTACCAAATCCTTGGTTCAAAGTCTTTTTGCCCTTTAACAGCTGAAAAGAATTTCTGAAACAGAAATCTCCAAAATTCAGAAGTTTGAAGAAAAATGATATGTCACTAACAAGGGCTCTGCAACCTCGGTTTGCATTTCAAAGGAGCCCACTGCTATTTTGGGGCAATCTTCTCTGCATCTCTTTCCTTCTAGCTCTCCCAGGCACACCGAGCTGTGCAGAGAGGGGAGTGCACGAAAAATCGGTGTCTTTGTGATAGCATAATTACCCAATAGACGTCAACCGTTATAACGGTTGCTTAATATTCATTTTCCTGCTAAAGTAGATGGACTAATACAACATCCCACCGAGAAACCAACTTCCACTCTGCTGTGCTTTCTATAATGGTGTTGAAAATAACCCGCGGCCAGATCATCAAGGCTCAGATGCTTACAGTGGGAACTGAAATACCTGCAAATCAATGATCCTCCTGGCTAACTATAAAGGCCTTGTAAACACCATAGGCAGCTGCATTTTTTAACTTATCTTTCCCAAATGCTGACAGTATCACCTCTTCACATATGCAGAAGTGCCTCTGGGCAAGACAGTTCCCTCCTGTTGAAGCTCTTCGACTGAGCATATATGTCTGCTTCACACTTCAAGCAAGTGGAATTGGCACCTCTCTTTAAGGGTGGATTACTTAGAATGGATGTAGATAGTGGCAGTCATTAACATATACTCAGTATTTCTTATTTGCAATGTCTAGACAGCTCCCTGCTCAGAATGCTAAACTGTTTTAAAACAGCATGCTAAAGCTCCCAAATCTCCCCATGCATTGGTTAGGAAGGTCTTTCACTTGAGTATTTCTGAGTTTTGGATTACATTATAAGCAGGAAGCTTCTAATGAGTTAAGCATCAAAGTGATCTATGCCACAAGGCCTAAGGTATTTTCTGAATCTAGCTCATACTCCCACTTCTTTTAACCAAACCATTTGCATCAGTTAAGGAGATTCGGATTATGGGAATGTTTCTAACAAGCATTTCCAGCAGCTGATTATTTTCCAGTGACATGTGGTACTTTCAGAGCAAAACTGTATTTCAGTGAGCTCCCATTGCACATGAAAGAGGAGGGAAATGAGTGAATCATCTGAAGAAAAATAGAAGCTGAATATTAAGTTTGGTCTTTTCTTTACTAGTTTAGTGGACAAAAGAAACACGGACAGCAAAATCTATGGGATGATTTGACAACTTTTTGAGATTAATCCATATAGGTTGGTGTAGTCATACGTTTGGAGCATGAACAAGAAACTTTTGGGTTGCATGTCCTGCATGTAGTTCGGCAGCTACAGAACCTCACTGTCCATACTTGAAGAATACAGATTTTAGCACTACTTACAGTTACTCAGCATTTTGCCATGCTTGCTTGTGCACTACCAGAATATCACTGCATTTTACATTTGAAAGCAGTCAGACTTCAGCCTTGTTCCTGAGAATACATTTGAGAGAAGCCCCAATAACCTATTAACGTATCATCTGTCATGGCTTATTTCTATTAAAGAATGCTTCATTACTTTGCATTAGAAGAAACAAAAAGCTTCAAACAAAACCAAAAAAGCTTCAAATAGCTTGAAGCTGCTCTAATACAGATCCTTCCTATATGAAATGTTGCACCTACTGTTTACACACGCTCAGAATCAACCCTTAGTATTTATTTCCAGGTTGGTTGTTCTTCCTGTCTTAGAGGTATCTTGCTTTCCTCTGGGTAGAAATTAAAAGCATAGCAGATATTTTCAATTTAAAGGTCAACATGTCTGGGTTTTATATTAAAACCTGAGATGAAAATGAAAAAAAAAAGGGCCTAGATAAAGCCCTTACCTTAAGGTAGGGGCAAGGTGGCGGTGAGAGGAAAAAGCAGTTTGTAATGTCTTTTTGTTACATCATCTTCAGTTTCTGAAATAAAAAAAAAAAGTCATTTTCCTAATGACTTTAAAAAGGAATCATAACTTCAAATGACAGCTTTCAGTTGAAGAAACCCTTTAAAACCATCACAAAACTCCTAAAGATAGGAACATAGTTTACAGTGCACTTATTTTAATAAAACAGTATACAACACAACTAATATATTTACAAAACGCAATTTCAATTAAACAAGCAACGTCCGATTCCCCCTCCTCTCCTTGACGTTAACTAAAAGTGAACAATTTTCATCTCTATCACGTATTGTCTCAAACAACAGATGGTTCAATATTTCTTCATACCTCAAGCTCCCCACTTTGTTTCCAGGGGAGGCAATTTGCAGAAGTAAAGCTCAATTTAAAACAGAATTCTTGAAGCACTCTGTTTAATTACATACAGATGAACCAAATGTAACCTTAATCTTGTAGATACGCCATTCTCACAAGTACAGTATGGCCCAGATGTTATATATATTTATCACTTTTTCATTTCCATAAATTTATAATGATTTGCTAGCGGAAGTTTGAACCACAGAAGTCTTGGTAGATTATATATTTAGGCACTCTTAGCTTTGAAGAACCAAGTTTAAGAGCAGATTTTTGGTGTCATTTTTGAGAAAATATAGTTCCTAATCAACAAAATATACTTTCATAAGTATTTACCTTATACTGTTGTCAGAAGTAATCGGTGTGAGACTTCTTTTGCATTCTATGCTTCTGTTTGTTAGGGCTGAAATTTCTCTTTTCTTTTCCACATCCCTGGAATTGTTCAAACGACAGTTTAACTTGCTCTTTGTGGTATTTAAATTCAAGTCAAATATTCTTCAGAACACGTCTGACAAAAGAAAGGGTAGTTGAAGTTATCCTACTTTAAATCATGACACTTTAATTGGCAAAATGGCCTGATGTTGCAAATGTCTCATGATTAATAAATATATAGTTCATATAATTAAAGGAATAGAAAACTTCTAAGTAGATAATCAGCTACATTCAGATAGTCGTATGTAATACAGCTAAAAGTTTTCAAGATGAACAACAACAGAATAAGTAGCTGATATCATGTTTAAAATCTATAAATAATAAAAATAATAATTACTACTGAAATATGAGCTGTGTGAACCAAATCTCTGACTTTTCTTCCAAATCTTTTTCATTCTAGAAAAAAAAAAGATGCCATTTAATAAACATAAAGAGATACAAATTTAAGGTTCATGCATAATATTTAGTTAACTGCTCCCTACATTTTGTGATATATGTAAATTTTAGATGAAGCAATAAAAATGCAAAGTGAGAACACAGAAGTACTCTAAAGGAGGAGCAGAAAGTTAAGCAACAAGTCAATTCTACCTAAACATTTTCCATTCAGACTGTTGAAACAAACATTGGATGATGTGTCCTGATACCGTTTTAATAATAAATACACAAGCACTCATAGTATAAGTGATGTTCATCAACACTACTCTGATTTGATTCATTTTAGGACCTGCTCTTTGAATATTCTACTCAATATACTAACTGCTGAAGTTGCCTTGACACTATTCAGCCTTCTTACAAATAATTAAGTTATTTTATACAAAAAACATCATCAGATGACCATGGAATAGGCAATCCACTGGAATACTTAAGTACCAAGCATTTTCCAGTATTTATTGAATACCTTATATTCAAATGTCTCCAAATTAATTGTTCCTTCTTTAGCCATGTTCTAGGTACAGATTTGTACATATGTTAACTGACACACGTCTAGAATGACAAACACTTTTAGGGCTTGTAACAGACTGAGTGTTACCTAAGAGCAAGGATAAAAGAGTGAGTCTTCAAAAAGATAGGGAAAGGCCAGAGAAAATCTGAGAAATTGATTAAAACAACAACAAAAGCAAAAGTTGTATTGATTAACAATCCTGGCAAGTGTGGCAAAAGCTCTACACCAAACCATGAAAGTCTTGTTGACTTGAACTGCAACTACAGTAGAAATTGAAGACAAGCATGGAAACAGTATCATCATGCTCTGAATAGCAATTGGAGAGACAAGTACCTTCCATCTTAAGCTAAATGAAATGCCTGTACACAACAAGTTGAAAGTCTGCTTTAGGAAACTTGAAGCAACAATCAGAAAACTAATCAACAATAATACCAAGACATAGAGGCTGCAAATCAATTCAGAATAAATATTGAAGGCAGTTGTAAACTATAAACGATGGAATTAAGTGCAGGGAAAAGAAGAAGCAAGGAATTATCCATGCATTTCCTAGAAAAAGTTCGTATGCACATAATGCATGGAGTACTCATATCATCTCTGCTGCCATTCATTTGCAGGAAACACTTTTTTATGTTCATGTGAACTCAATTCTCAACAAGAGCCAATAACAGAAAAAATTGAGATAGTTTCAATCTATGTATTCTTAAGCTATCTTTATTTATACCATGTTCTATATTTTATCAATTTTCAATAAGGCCTTGGGCTTCTGGTCTGGTAATCTGTACTCCTTTATGAAAACACCCAGATTTTCTGAAATCTTCAAGGTGATACATTTTCCTGAGACTTCAGATGTGGAAATTAGGAATTGTAGGGATGAAAGAGCTGCTGGAGTGCCCAGAGATTTAGACCTTGCTGATGGCACCACTTCTTGCATTTAGTGATAAATAACATGCAGTAAGAGACCCACAGCTTAGTCAGAATTGCTCAAGAATTCTGACTTTATGACCAAAAAGTCAGAAGTAGAAGTTAAGCTAGATAAAATTACCTCACATAACCCCAACTCTAGAAGGAAAAGCATTGCAGAACTACTGCATCTACTTACGTAGGCAGCCATAAATCTGACGGCTGCATCTCGAAGTGCCTAAGGCACTGCTCCATTTTTGGTAGCTCACACTAGGAGGCAAGCATCGGTATTAAACAAGGTACTTAGCACGCATCTTTCTGTGGAAATCAGAATCACAGAAAGGCAACAAATCTATCCAACAGTTAAATTGTTTTTCAGCACCGATGATAATAGCATACATTCAGCGTAAAGTGACCAGATACAATAAGTACTATCGAGAAAATTACTTACAATTGCACACATAGCAGACAGACTTGAATATTTACCAAAACAAGCCCTGTTTGGGGAAAAA